TTAACTTTAAGAGCTAAATATTCTAAACTGGCAAAATTTTTCAGGGTGCACTTCTTTCATCAAAAAAGATCATCAATTTTTTTGTATAGTGAACTTGTATAGTGTGGTTAAATGGGACACATTTCAAACTAGGGTAATACATCAGTGTCCACTTGCCAGTAATAGATTTAATATTCTGTTTTATACTATAAAGATATGAAAATGCCAAACTTGTTTATTTAATTGTCTCCTTATGTTTTGGGTGTAATAGTCCTTTTTTTATTTTTATTTTTGTTTTTTAAGGCAGGTCTGTCATTTTTGAATACTGTAAAACTGTGACAAACTTTATATTGGAGCTGTATTTTAATATGACCGCTTTGAATCCTTACACAAAAATGTTCTGGGAGTCATTATAAACACATCCCAAAGAAGCAATATTTAATAAAGCTAGGTGAAAAAAGTGACACTCACTTGTGTGTGTATAATAAGCTCTCTAGGATTTTTTTTTTTTTGGTCGGTCGTGGGGATTGAACTCTGGGCCTGGGCACTGTCCCTGAGCTCTTCAGCTCAAGGCTAGAGCTCTACTACTTGAGCCCCAGTGCCACTTCCGGTTTTCCGGTGGTTAATTATAGATAAGAGTATCATGGGGAATTTCCTGTCCGGGCTAGCTTTGAACCTTGATCCTCAGATCTCAGCCTCCTGTGTAGCTAGGATTACAGGAGTGAGCTACCAGCACCCGGCTTCTCTAGGATTTTTATAGGGCCTCACTTCATCCTTAACCTGGTGGGGCAAGTAATTTTCTAATAATGTCTGAGATTTGACCCAGAACATGAGTTTCAAGGTTAACTTTTTTTCTTCAGACATTCCTAAGTTGAGTAGTGGTAACATTTAGCCCCTCAGTTACCTTTCAGTGTAGAAATTAATTAAGAAAGAACTGAGTTTTTTTGAGAAGAGACAGTGCTTTATCCTTAGACAGTCTTTCTCATCTGTTGAGGATATGGGAGCTGTTTTTGTTAGGCAAGTTTTATTTACAGGATACTTATGCATACAGCATTAATCAGGAAACAAGGAAATTTAATGCTCGACCTTTGCGTGAATTTTCTGTGATATTTCTTTACCTTCACTTCTTGCCTTCCCCACCAAAATTGGTGTTGTTCTGAACAATCTCATATGAATTCATTGTCAACAAAATAATAGATGTTTTACTTGCAAGAAACTTAGTCTAGACATTGTAAGAGTCCTCAAGACTCAGGGCCTATGCAGGCAGGGTCCAGTGAAGTTTCTGATGCATATCTCAGCAGAGTTTCTTTTTGGAATGCTGAACTGTCTCTCCTAGTCAGGGACTTTTTCAGCTTCAAAGAACATAATCTGAAGTGACTGTGTTCTAGTGACTTAATGTTGTTTGGGGAAAAATTTTAAGATAATACCATGCTAAGTTATTTAGTCACTGTAATACTGGTTCTTGATTAAATTTTAGATGCTTTGTCTAATTCCACTTTAAGATGATTTAATTGCGCTTTTATAACTGTAATCTCCAACTTCTAGTTTCAAGCATCTCACTGCCAACTGTATCATATCTGTTCTTAACTTTGCTTAATTTTCCATTCATTTCCGGTCAACGGTGAGACCTTTGTCTTCTGTGTCTTATTTCTGCTTTGATCTCCTGCTTCTCACCCAACTCTGCCACTGTTCCAGAGTAGGTGACTAAACTTTTATCTTTCCTTTAACTTACCTTTTTATCCTTCTGTTTTCAGTTCTCCTTATAGTGATTATCACATCAGTTTGGCAATCTAAGATGTCTTTTATCAAGCGTCAGCCCTTTTCTATTTGGAGCTGAATTCTTTCTTTCATGTAGAAATCTACATGTATATATAAGAAATGTATTTTTATCTGCAGGATGATATTGTGTCACATTTTATTAATAGAATTAACTTTTCAGGTATTTTCCTTTTTGAGTGTGATTTCCAAATGTTAATTGCATTTTATACATGATGCATTCAATGAACTTTTCTTAATTATGAATGCATTGTGCAAATCAAAAGTAAGAATAGGAATCAGCAAACAGAATTTTCTTTTGATGCTTATTAAATCAATGAAATTGAATTTTGATAATATGCTTGGTACTTGGAATTGGTATATGCTTTATTAAAGCTTGGAAAACATTTAGCATTGGAATCATAAGTTTCATCTCGAACCATGTCTTTTGCCTCTTTTGTTACCCAGGTTTGATCAAAGGGACTTGATATTCATAGTGATTTCCCTTAGTAGATGGTTTAGGACTTAATTTTAAGGTGTATTCCATGTAACTTTAGTATTTGCAGTAATAAATAAAATTTATACAAGTTTCAGAGAACTGCCAACTCTCTCTAGTTAATTTTGGTGAAGATGTTTTGGATTGTAGCATGGTTTAGAATGAGTTTAACCTTTAAAGAAGAAATTGGTTCTGATTTGCCCCCTGCCTTTTTTCCCTCCATTTCAAAATGTCCAGAAGTACTTTGAGAATTAAGAGGAAAGCGAAGCCTTTGACAGAATACACAGTTCTTAATAGCAAAAGCTGACCTTATATTTGAAAATTGAGTGAGCTAAGTGAAAACATGAAAGAAAGCATACATAATTTTGAATCTGAATGCCACTAATAATTTCACTTTGTTGCAGTTAACACAGTAACTTGTCCAGTTACAGGATTCTAAGTCATTCTTTGGACTGTAGTTGATTTTCAACATAAAAGTTCTTTTGTGTTTTCTTTCTCTAAAAGAAATACACGATCACTTTTTGTTTTCTAAAGAGACAGGGTCTCTCTATGTTGCCCAGGTTGCCTCCAATTCCTAGGCTTTAAGCAGTCCTCTTGCCTCTGCCTCCAGAGTGCTGGGATTAAAGGTATGCACCACTACACTTTCAAATATTCTTCACTCCCAGAACATTTTAAGAGAACTTACACTCAAGGAACACAAAGAACAAATGTTAATGTAGGTTTCAGTGTTTCTAGTGGGGTTTTCTTTTTCATTTGGCTTGGTGGGAATGGCCAGGGTGATGGAAGGTATATAAGTTCCCTTAGGATGAGGCCAGCCCACACTGTGCAGTTTATCTCCAGGAAAGCTATGACCTGCTTAGTTTTCTAGCCTTCACATCCAAGTGGCCAGTGAGTTGTTATTTACCTTATCTAAGAATGTAACTGACTGTTTAATGTGTATATTTAGATCAAGAACAAATGGTAGCTAATATTTGCTGAGAGCTTACTGTGTCCCTGGCATGTGTATTTAATTTCCCAGTTACCCTATGAGGTGTCAGTATCCTCCTTTTACAGATGATAAAGAGACCACAAAAAATGAAGTAATTTTCTTGTGATGAAATTATCCCTAAAGGGCAAACCACTAAGAAGAGGCTATTTGAGTCCAGAGCTAGTGCTCCTAAACCCTATGCCTCTACATAGAAGCGTGGCAGTAAGGGGAAACTTGAATACATACAATTTTGACACATATACCAAGCTCAAGAAATGCACTAAAAGAAACAAAAAAAACCAAGCTGGGTGCTGGTGGCTCACGCCTGTAATCCTGGCTACTCAGGAGGCCAAGATCTGAAGAGGCTAAGATCTGAAGATCAAGGTTCGAAGCCACCCCAGGCAGAAAAGTCCCTGTGAGACTTATCTCCAATAAACTACTTTAAAAAGCCAGAAGTGGCTCTGTGGCTCAATTAGTAGAGTGCTAGCCTTGAGCACAAAGAGGCTCAGGGACAGCACCCAGCCCCTTGACAAGTCCCAGGACTGACAAAAAAAAAAAGGGAGCTAGGAAAGTGGCTCAGTGGTAGAGTGCTTGCCTTGCATGCATGAGGCCCTGGGTTTGATTCCTCAGCACCACATAAGCAGAAAAAGCCGGAAGTGGTGCTGTGGCTCAAGTGGTAGAGCACTAGCCGTGAGCTGAATCGCTGAGGGACAGCGCTCAGGCCCAGAGTTCATGCCCCCACGACAGACAAAAAAAAAAAAAATTGAAAAAAAAAGAAAGAATAGAAAAGAAGGAAAAGGAAAGAAAGAAACCAAAACATAGCTGAGAGTCAGTGGTTCATGCCTGTAATCCTAGCTAGTCCAGAGGCTAAGATCTGATGATCACAAGTTTGAAGCCAGCCAGGGCAGGAAGGTCCCTAACACTCTTCTCACCAATCATATCAGAGAAAGCTGTAAGTGGACCTGTGGCTCAAGTGCTAGGGCACTAACCTTGAGCAAAAAAATGTCGGGGACAGTGCCCAAGCCCTGAATTTGAGTCCCAGGACCAACAGCAAAAAAAAAGAAAAGAAAGAAACCAAAACATGATTGGTCAGTTGAAGTTGACAGGATAATGATTTCTGACCTCTGTGGCACTTACTTGGAACTTAAATCAGACTGACTTAAGACCGAAAAGTCTTTTAAGTAATCATTGGCCTTTGCCAATGCTTCACGATGCTTGGGGCTGTGCTACCCTTCAGAATCCGATCAATATGGTATCCTGTTCGTTCCTGCCAGGTAGCCTAGTCGTGGAGCTTTGTGTCAGCCTGGCACACAGGTGGAGCACAGTAGGTGTGCAATGTGGGCAGCCAGTGGTTGAGTTAGTCTGTGGGCCTACGAACGAGCTAATTTAATAGAATTGCATAATGCAAGGAATACAAAGAATTCAAGAAAGATCCCTTGAGCACTTTACATCTCTGCAATAAAGGAGTGAAAACAGGAGCTGCACATCAGGGGAGGGGCCTGGCAGGATTCAGTAGGGGGAGAAGATGGCCTGTGAGTTTCAACTAGAGGTGGCAAGGCAACCAGGGGTTTTGATGGGGTGTTAATGTTTGCCAGGGCAAACGTCAGGGGCTCACTTAAGGGGTGGAGTTGGCCCTTCCAGGAAAACGGAAAGTCCCCGCCCCTGAGACCAATGACGCGAGCTCCATGGCCACAGCACGTGGGGGCGGTCCCTGGTGGGATCGCGCCTGCGCTTTAGACTGCCTAGGGGCTAGCGCATGCGCACTGTTGCCCTCAACCCACTAGCCTCCCCGCCCCCACATCCCCTGGGGCTCTGAGTGAAACATGGTGCTGTCGGAGCTGTCCGCGCGTCTTAACTGCACGGAGTACAAGAACTGGGTGAAGGCAGGACACTGCCTGCTGCTGCTGCGCAGCTGCCTGCAGGGCTTCGTCGGTCGCGAGATGCTCTCCTTTCATCGCGACCTACTCGCCACAGCCTCCGGCCTGGGACGTTCCACTTGCAGCGGCGGCTCACGGTGCCACCCCCGCGCTCGCCAGGTGAGCACTCGGGGCCTTGACCACGACTCCAACCCCCCATTCCTCTTCCCTGTCCCAGTTCCGGAGGTGCAGCGTTCCCTTCCCTCCCTGAGGCGGGGCAGACCGCGATCCAGGAGCCGCCCCCTCTTCCTGTGCCCCTCCTCACCACCGCCCTCTGTAGTTTCAGCCTCAGTGTCAGGTGTGTGCCGAGTGGAAACAGGAGATTCTGAGACATCACGTTCACAGAAATGGAGACGTGTACTGGGGAAACTGCCGGCCGGGCCGCTGGCCCCTCGACGCCTGGGAAGTAGCTAAGGTAAGGGGCTGCGACTGGGATGTGAGGGGGCAACTGGTGGGTGGGTCTTTGCGCCTTCTAGAGTCATAGTGCAAGTTGATTGGTTGGTTACATAGCATCTAGTGCACCCGACACAGTTCAGTGAGGTAGAAAGTTTCTTCTACCAGTCTGCGCTGCCCATGCTAGCTGAGCTTTAGGGAAGATGCAGACCCGAACATCGTGAGCACAGGCAAGGAACCAGGGGAAGGAGTGTTGGAGAACAGGCTTTACTGAATGGCTCATTTGGACAATACAGCTACCATGAAGATGGCAGAGCAAGTTAAGGGAAGTTTAGATAAAATAGAAAGGACCCTAAGTAACCTCCTGCCCCTCCTCCCCCCGGCTATGGAATAAAACATTGGAAGGTGTAAATGAGGTAAGCAGCTAGATTAAAACTTATTAATTAACGCCGGGCACTGGTGGCTCACGCCTGTAATCCTAGCTACTCAGGAGGCTGAGATCTGAGGATCACGGTTCAAAGCCAGCCCGGGCAGGAGAGACCGTGAGACTCCTATCTCCAACAAACCACCAGAAAACCGGAAGTGGCGTAGTAGCTCAAGTGGTAGAGCGTTCGCCTTGAGCTGAAGAGCTGAGGGACAGCGCCCAGGCCCAGAGTTCAAGCCCCACGACCGACAAAAAAAAAAAAAAAAAAAAACACTTATTAATTAGGCCTATCCTCAGGTCTTGACCAGGTGGTTGACATACACCTAGGCTGATTTAGGAATTTTCTTTCTTTTTTCTTTTCTTTCTTTCTTTTTTTTTTGCCATTCCTGGGGACTTGAACTTAGGGCCTGGGAGCTGTCCCTGAGCCTCTCTGTGTTGAACGCTAGGCATGCTACCACTTGAACCACAGCACCACTTCTGGCTTTTTCTGTTTATGTGGCACTGAGGAATCGAACCCAGGGCTTCATGAATGTTAGGCACACACTCTACCACTAAGCCACATTACCAGTCTCTGGACTTTTTGATGTTTGTCAGAAGCCCAGTAGTGCATGGAGATGGCAGCCAAAAGTGACTTCCTAAAGCAAATCAACTTGGGGAGTCAGTGTGGATGAGGCTCAGCTCAGCTGCTGCTGTAACAAGCCAGCTTCTCTTTCCTAACCTGGAAAATGAGGGAATTGGACTGTCTATAGTTCTCAGACTCACAGACCACAATTATACCCTCCTCCCCACTGGTGTTCGTTCTTCATTGACTATGGCGTCTCTTATTTGGTCTCCCTTGCTTCTCCCAATCCTCTTAACAACCCATGCTACCTGATTCTGCCAGTCTTTCCTCCTCTTGTTGCTGGTCACATGTATCCCAAACCAGGTTTACATTCTTTCAATCCTATCCTCGTCTTTCTTGAACTTCCTATTCTAGCATCCTTGATTACCTCCCCCTTGCATATTCACACTCCAGCCTTGTTGACACAGGTAGTTGGTGTCCAACATCCCTGCTTGACTTTGCCACACTTATTCAAACACTCCTCTCCTTGACCCATTGTCCATTTACTGTCACCTCTGTGATGCTTCCGCTGCTTCTCAATACCCAGCAACCCCTGCCTTCCTGCCTGCCTTTCACATTTCAGCTGGCTGAATTTCTACCATCCATTAGCAATTAGCTGCAAAGGTACAGCTATCTTACATTCTTTTCTCTTTTCTTTGAACTTGCCTGGCCTATGACCATCAACCTTAAAGACACCATCCTCTGCTTCTGCTGAGGAAGCTGACTGACTGGGTGCACTTTCATTCTTGATCTACAACCCTGCCTCTGCCTTCAGGTTCCTGAAGCCAACTGTTCCTGAAGCTATCCTCACCAAGCCCTTCCTCCTGTTCCCCCTACTCTTACCCCCAAACACAAACGTCCTCATGTTTTTGTCAAATGTACTAGTTTACTTTTCATATGCACCATCTTTTTCCTTTACTTGCCCTGTCCCCTCCACATGTGTGCTGGTGTTATTCTCTTCTAGTTGTCCAAGGACTCTGAGTCTTCAGCTGTCCATATTCTTCCCAGCTATTCCCATCACTACTCAAATAACTTTACTATTATTTCAGTTTATATAATTTTTTTAGCCAGTCCTGGGGCTTGAACTCAGGGCTTAGGCACTGTCCCTGAGCTGCTTTTTGCTCAAGGCTAGCACTCTACCATGTGAGCCACAGCACCACTTCTGACCTTTTCTGTTTATGTGGTACTGAGGAATCAAACCCAGGACTTCATGCATGCAAGGCCAGCGCTCTACCACTAAGCCACCTTCCCAGCCCTTATTTAATTAAAAAAAAAAAGATTAAACAGTTACCATATGACTGACAAATACTCAAGAGAAATGAGGGTTGAAAGCGTGGATCAGGTGGAAGAGCACCAAGCTTTGCTATACCACATCATTGTTGTAGTCCTTGTCATAAAATCTTGGTACAGATTTCACTTCATTTATGAAATGAAGCCTTCTGGTGTCTCTGGCATCGCAGATCCTAGGATTCCCTTTGTAATACTTGTGTAGGTCCTACTCACTTTGCACTGCCAACATGATGATTGCCATTATATGTGTGTGTTTAATGATGCTAGAGTTACAGATCAGCACTTTGAACTTGCTTGGCTGTTGCTCTACCACTTGAGCCATACCTCCAGCCCTGCTGTTTGCTGTTTGCTTTTGTTTTGTTTTGGATAGAGTCTCTAGGACTTTACTGCCCAGGTTGGCATCCATCAGCAGTCCTCCAGATCCCAACCTCTTTTTTTTAAACTGTATTTTTTTTGTCTTTTCTTTTTTGGTACTGGGGATCGAACCCAGGACGTTGCACTTGCTAGGCAAGCGCTTTGCCACTGAGCTACCTCTTGAGTAGCCAGTATTATAAGTATGAGCCACTGGCACCCAGCTGGTCCCTTCATTACCATGTGCCAGTTACTGCTAGTGCTCTGCCTGCCAATACCTTAGTTCATTCTCACTGCATCCTTTGAGATAGATGATGGCAGTCATCCCTCATTTATTGACATTAATGCCTCTGAGGATTAGTAATTTGCAAGTCTTCCTTTAATAATTTGGTTCCTGAGACTTCAGTCAGGAACAAATAAGATAACTTTTACTTTTGTGCTTCTATGCCCCTAAGACAGGATAAGAAACGTTACAGTGGCTGTATCTAATAGCTCTTGGACAAAGCTTAACCATGACTCTGTTTTCCCCACTTACATTTTGAACACATGCTACTCTACCATGTAGCCTTTGGTGGGTAAGTGACTTTCCATCATCCTTTGGGGAATGGATGAGTCACTGCCTCTCCAGCTCCTAGAGTTGGAGGAGAATAAGGTGCCCCTCATGCCTCCCTTTCTATAGGCCTTCATGCCCCGAGGACTGGCAGACAAACGAGGACCTGAGGAGTGTGATGCTGTTGCTCTTTTGAGTCTCATCAATTCCTGCGATCACTTTGTGGTTGATCGGAAGAAAGTCACAGAGGTAAGAGCTGTCAGATGGAAAGCCATGCACTGAGTCAGTTAGGTTGGTTACAGGGAGGGCCAGTGGTGAGATACCCTGTGAGTTAAGCCAGCCCTGCAGGCCTAGCACAGTTTTCCCCCAGAATGGTGGTATGCAGAGAGAGAAAGAGACAGAGTCAGAGTCAGAGAGAGAGATCTCAGTCCAAAGTTGGCATTACTAAGCAGGCTCATGGGGCTCATATTGTGTGCACCTGCTGTGATGCCCAAGAAACACAGTATGAATTCAACCAAGAACTAAGGAAGAACCTACGCTTCATAATGCAGGTCTCCTGGCAACTTGTTAGTGGGCCACTTGTTGGTTCTTCCACAAACAGAAACAAAGTAATTTTCTGTATTAAAGGGCCCTGGGTTCCATCCCCAGTACTACTAATAACCAGGCAGCCAGAGCATCATTCTGTCTGTTGTGTGTGTGCCAGCATTTGAATCCTGCCCTTCAGAATTTCATTGGCTACAAAGTTACAAGACCAAATGATGTAGAACTGAAGAAAATATGGGCAGGAATGCAGAACACTGTCAGAATAGATCACTATGCTTCTCAGCTTGCCTCTGGGAGAGTGAGATTTTTCACTAGTTCACCATAGGAAATTTTACCACATTTATTACTCTGAGAAGCACTAAAAAGCACCTATAGAATCCTTGGATTATTTATAATATGTAGAGAAAATGACATATTTTGCCAGCATGACAGCAGGTGGAAAGATTGAAGATCTTTTGTGACCTCACAGAGACAGACTTATAACAGTGCTTTCCCCTTTGAATGTGGAAGACTATGTGAGTTGTGCTTTAGCACTATTTTTCATAAAATATAAGCAAAAGTTGATTTTTTTTGTCACTGTTTTCCATACCAGGAAACTTCTTTGATTTGATTTCTTGGAACTCCATGTTATTTGTTTATAAATATTTATTTTTTAAAAAATTATATTTTTGCCAGGCACCAGTGACTCATGCCTGTTGTCCTAGCTACTCAGGAGGCTGAGATTTTTTTTCTTGGTCATGGGGCTTGAACTCTGGGCCTGGACGCTGTCTTTGAGCTCTTTAGCTTACGGCAAGCGCTCTACCACTTGAGCCACAGCGCCACTTCTGATTTTTTGGTGGTTAGTTGAAGATAAGAGTCTCTGGGCTAGTTTTGAACTATGATCCTCAGATCTCAGCCTCCTGATTAGCTAGGATTACAGGTGTGAGTCATTGGTATCTAGCCTGAAGGCTGAGATTTAAGGATCACAATTTGAAGCCAGTAAAATCCACAAGACTCTTATCTCTAATTAACCACCGAAAAGGACTAGTGGAACCATGGCTCTAGTGGTAGAGTCCTAGCCTTGAGCATAAAAAGCTCAGGGACAGTGCTCAGGCCTTGAGTTCGAAGCTCCAGAACTGGCAGAAGCCACATGTGCATGTGCACACACACACACAGTAAATAATTTTTTTCACTTTGTCTACTTCAGTCTATAAATAGTATGTCCGGAGCCAAAATATGTCATCTTTGGCAGGCTGTTTTAAGTTAAGAGATTTGGGGGAATGTAAAATATCTAATCAGATATAACATTTCAAGGATAAAGGGTAGTTGTAAACTTATTTTGAGTTTGTTTTCTTTCTTTTTAATGTTTTTTTTAAACAAACAAAAAATGTTGCCCAGGCTGGTGTAAAACTCGTAATTCTCTTGCCTTAGCTTGCCAAGTGCTAGGACTACAGGTGGGTGCCACAACATCCAGCTGATTTATTGACATTTCCTACCCTGGTTAATTTCTTATTCATATGGCACTGGATTAAACATACCTTCAAAGCCTTTATGGTACTTTATTCTATGGACAAAATCCAACTTACAGTCATGTTTTATTTGTACTGCCTGGTGTTTCTTTTTTTTTTAATTGTCATAAAAATCGGAATTTCTAACTTTTCTTGAGAAATCTGAAGGCTCTGTAACACATAGCAGAACACTCTAGACTCACATAGCTCCCACAGTAACAGGTCACAAGTTAAATAAAAAGCTGCCCCTTTAACAGAGAGAGTCTCCAGTTGTCTCTATCCCATCTCTTCTTTTGTCCAGGCTTTTGCATGTGGCCAGTGTCAAATTTCTCTTGAAAGCATTTCGGTTTGTGACCCAGGGAGGACTTTACTTTTGTGGACAGGATGAAATGAAATAGAAGTGTGACTTGGGGGCTGGATTCTACAAGCTGTACTGTTCTCTATGCCAGATTATACGGTAGACCCAAGAAAAGGGCAGCCCTTCTCACCTGGAGACCATGCTTGGCGGCTTTATATTTACCAAAGCCCTTCTGTATTTTTCTTTTTGTGTTGTTGGTCATTGGGATTGAACTCAGGGACAGTGGTCCCTCAGCTTTTTTGCTCAAGGCAAGCGCTCCATCACTTTGAGCCACAGCCCCACTTCCAGTTTCTTTGGTGTTTAATTTGAGATAAGAGTCTCATAGACTTTCCTGCCCAGGCTGATTTTGAACTGTGATCCTCAGATCACAGCCTCCTGAGTAGTTAGGATCAGCCAGAGCCTGGCTTTGTGGTTTTTCTTTGAAGTCGCAAGATCTCCATTTTGAAGGTTTTATCTTTTTGTCTTTCTATAGGTGATTAAATGTCGTAATGAGATCATGCACTCTTCAGAGATGAAAGTGTCATCTATGTGGCTTACAGATTTTCAGATGAAGATTCAAAATTTTCTGAGTGAATTTAAGAATATCCCGGAGATTGTGGCAGTATACTCCAGAATAGAACAGGTGAAAAAAATCATATTTAACAGTCCTGGCATTCAGAACTAGGGATCATAAACAAGCAGTCACTGGTTTAAAATGTGATACTAGATTTAAACTTAAAAGTTCAATTATGGGGCTTGAATTCTTTGTCATCAAAGCTATCTCTCTACCACTTGGGCCACAGTTCCACTTCTAGTTTTTGAGTGGTTAATTGGAGATAAGAGTCTCACAAGGACTTTTCTGCTCTGACTGGCTTCAAACCGTGATCCTCAAATCTCAGCCTTCTAAGTAACTAGGATTACAGGTGTGAGTCACCAGCACCCAGCTTAAACTAAATTATTATTTATGTCACAATATTGAGATGGAACCCATGTCTAGAACCCAGTCTAGGCAACCACTCTACCACTGAGCCACATGAAAGACTGTATTATTATCTTGTGGTGTTGGGGATGAAACCCAGGGTTTCACACATGCTAGGCACATGATATTCCACTGAGCCACATTCCCCAAGTCTACACCAAAGTTTAGAACGTAAGCAAGGGAAAGAATGCCATAGGAGGTCTGGAATTCTGCTGAGCTAATGAGCTTTTCTGTAGTAATGGCTAACATAGATCCAGTTGATAGTGTTTAGTTTAACAATGCGATGAGTAATCAACTGGAGTCTTGACTTTGAAGGCAGTTCAGTGGGCTGAGGATATAGCTCAATGGTAGAGCACTTGCCCAGCATGTGCAAGGTCTTGTGTGCCATCCTCAGCAATAAAAATAATAATACATTTAAAGAATGAATATACATGTATCTATGATCCTCCCATAGCTGTTGACCTCAGATTGGGCTGTTTACATTCCTGAGGAAGACCAGCGAGACGGGTGTGAATGTGAACTAGGAAGTTACCTGAGTGTGAGCCAAATCAATGAAATCGAAATGGAATTACTAAAGGAAAAACTGCAAGAGATGCGGCTTCAAGCAGAAGAACAAGAGGTGTGGCCCACAGAGGTAAGGGTATGGATTGCGGAAAGAAAGGTACCAGGAGGAAGAGGAGCCAGTTTAGACCCAGAGCCAATTAGGTTTCTGATCTAAAAGTGAAGTTGTTTCCAAAAGTGAATATGCTTTTGACACAGGTGGATATTGTGACAGACATTTTCACTTTAACTCTTGAGGGTCTAAAGTGTGTGTAAAGTAGAATAATGAGGTAATGACTATTACAAGATTCTGAACAAGGAGGAGGATCCTGGGTATCTCAGAGGAATTGCCAAAAGGAAAAAAAAAAGGAGAAGGGTGCCATTGAGCTGAAACTCATATTCAGTAAGGGTTTGGCAAATTAGCAGGGGAAAAGGGCACTTTTGCCAGAGGGAACAACCCTTGGAATAGTATGAAGACCAGTGTTGTCCTGGACAATAACCAGGTGAGTTCAGGACATATGGTCAAGTAGGAAGGTTTTCTGCACCACACCAAAAGCTTATTCCTAAAAGCAGGAGGGACCCCATATGTTCTTAAGCAAGAAAGATCCATCACATCACATGTAGCTTTTAGGAAGTAAACTTTTGTCACAATTGGGAGTTAGATGAATAGCCAAGGGACAAAGAACTGGAAGGCTCTTGTGGTTGTGGAAGGGAAGGTGGGCTATGGAGGCAGAGCCAGATTCTAGAGACTTTGTAGAGCCTGATGGATCTTAGTGGCCTGATACAAAACTTGGATATGGCATGAGACTGGAAGGAGGAGAGAGGGACTAGAAGATCATTAAGGTTTCTCTCTTAGGACCTGCAAGCTAGTAATGGTCTCAGACCTGAAAAGGAATAATGAAGGCTTAAGTCCTCTTTATTACAAGCAAGGCATTAAACTGACAGTTGCCAGGCGCCCGTTACTCATGCATGTAATCCTGGCTACTCAGGAGATTCTTTTATCTCCAGTGAACTCCATTTAGCTCCAGAAATGGAGCTGTGGTTCTCGTGGTAGAGCACTAGCTTTAAGCACAAAACTCAGGAATAGCACCCAGGCCCTGAGTTCAAGCCCTAAGACCAGCACAAAAAACAAAAAAAGAAAAAAAGAAATGGACAGTTGTAGAATTCTGTTTTAGTAAGACTCAGTGAATTCCAGACCTGGCTGAGTTAGAATTTTCAGTCACAAGGAAATCCAGGACTTATCCTTTACCATCTACTTGTCTAAAGCAAATAGATTTGCCTATTTCCTTGTTTAACACAGAGTATTTAATACAAAGTGTATGTTTTATTCATTACATCCCACTCCTTCCTGGTAAATAAGCCTAATATTAACCATTTTGACTTTAATCTGATGCTTTAGTCTTCATGTGTTTGGGTATGCCTACCCAATTTGTTTTTGTTTTGTTTTTTTGTTGGTCATGGGGCTTGAACTCTGGGCCTGGTTGCTGTCCCTTGGCTCTTGAGCTCAAGGCAAGCGCTCTACCTCTTCAGCCACAGTGCCACTTCCAGTTTTCTGGTGGTTTATTGGAGATAAGAGTTTCACGGACTTTCCTGCCCAGGCTGGCTTTGTACCAGGATCCTCAGATTTTAGCCTCCTGAGTAGCTAGGACTACAGGCTGAGCCACCAGCACCTGGCACCTACCCAGTTTTTTGTTGTTATTTTGTTTCGTTATGTGCTGGCCCTGGGGTTTGAACTCAGGGCTTGGGTAACTGCCACTGAGCTTTTTTGCTTGATGCAAGTGCTCTGCCACTAAACCATAGCTCCACTTTCAGCTTTATTTTGGTAGTTAATTGAAGATAGGAGTCTCACAGACTTTCTTGTCCAGGCTAGCTTCAAACCATGATCCTTAGATCTCAGCCTTTTGAGTAGTTATGATTACAGGCATGAACTACCAATGCCCAGCTTCTACTGTTCGTTTTTTTAAAAATTTAAATAATGACCTTAGCATATTAAATCATCTCTTTTCTAAGTCTACATGTTGTATGTACTTTGTTTTAAAATATCATTAGACCCTTCCTTCCTCCTACTTCTTTTAGAAGCATGGTAGAGAAAGGGAAGACAAGTGAGGAACAAGACTAAGTTCCCCCATGCCATTAACTGCTTGCTTTTCTCTCTCAAGTGAGTTTCACTTCTCTCTGTGATAAGGAGCAAAATACGTACAGCAACCAACCTAAGCCAGAAGTCTCTCCTTTGAGAGCTGGAAGGGAGTCTTACAATCATCTGAACATCTCCCCTGCTGTACAGGTGAAACCAGAGCCCTAAGAAGCTGGCACTGGGGTGTTCGGTTGGCTCGGTCTCCTTGTTCTGGTCCTGTGGCTTTGCCTGTGCTGTGCTATAGATCTAGACTCTCTGAGGCTCTGGCAAGTACATTTCCAACCCTCAGGATCTGGTTTACAAGGGAGACAAAGGGGTTAAATGGCTGTCCTCCAGATCACAGAATCTGTCTAGAGTTGATAAATTCCCGCTTTTCATGCTTTTTCTTCAGCAGACCACAGTATTTCTCCTCTTATTGCAGTTAATCAGAATGTATGTTAGAGCCTGTCACCAGTAGCTCACACCTATAGTCCTAGCTACTCAGGAGACTAAAACCTGGAGAATTGTGACTTCAAGACAGCTGGGCAGAAAAGCCTGCAAACTCCAATTAACCATCAAAATGCTAGACTAGAGGAGTTACTCGAGAATAACAGCCATGAATGAAAAGAAGCTGAGTGAGAACACAAGGCCCTAAGTTCAAGTACCAGTACTAGTACTAAAATAATATGTATTGGGATTGATTAGCGTGTTATCTCAAATAAGTTGAAGGCTGACTTTCCACATGTTTGGGACATATATTCTGGGAGGTAAGTACCATAGATTATCTAGGTTCTTTGGAGTTAGTCTTCAAAGTCAGAGGACTCAATAAGGCCACATTTCAGTGGATGTAAAAGACTGTCAATTGCAAAACGTAGCATTGTTTCAGTTGCTTCTAAGAAAGAGGACAAATGCTGCTGGTTTATTTTTTATTTCTATTTTTTATTGTTATTATAAAGGTTATGTACAGAGGGGTTAGAGTTATATAAGTCAGGTAGAGTCATTTCTTTTTGGAGAGTGTCACCCCTTCCCTCATTCTCTCCCAGTTTTTCCCTCCATTCCCACCCACAAATTGTATAGTTCATTTTCAACATAGTGTCCAGTGAGTACCACTGCTGTTTTTGTTCACCCTTTGTCCTTCCATTTCTCTTCCTTCCCTTATACTCCCAAAGACATATAAATGAACAAGCAAGACTAAAATTTTGAAAAGAAAACAAAAGTAGCAAAAAGAAAAAAAACTCTTGTGTCCATTTCCTAGAGTTCATTTCAATAAATATTATTTTGTATAATCATTTTGTATAATTTGTAAGCATTATGTCTTTGTGATCCTCTCCTAAGAGTATCCTCCTTTGGTCTCACTGTGTGTGAATACCTAAAGACCTGTATAATTGATCATATCCTGGCCTTCTCCATTCTTAATCATTTATAGTTTACTATGTGGTGTAAGGATCAAATCAGGACCTTGTGCATGCTAAACTGCTCCCCAGTACTGTGCCACAGCCCCAGTCCCAGTAAATTTTATTTATTTTATTTGTTTGTTTGTTTGTTTTGTTGGTCATGGGGGCTGAACTCTGGGTCTGGGCACTTTCCCTCAGCTCTTCAGCTCAAGGCTAGCGCCCTACCACTTGAGCCACAGTGCCACTTCTGGCTTTTCTGCTTATGTGCTGTTTATGTGGTTGAACCCAAGGGCCTCATGCATGCAAGGCAAGCACTCTACCACTAAGCCACCTTCTCAGCCCCCCGGAAATTTTTTTAAAGCTTCCACTTGATTTTGTATTGTTCTGAAGCTAAAATAATTACCCCAGACATGAGTACCTTCTTGTACTAGCTGTAGTGTTTAGAAGTAGGTTGCTCAGAGGAATTTAAATTGGTACAACCTCTACACATGGTAGTTTTGACCAAAATCAATGCAAAGTAAAGTAGAAACCTCAATGTGACTTGGATCCTATAAGCTGACATGTCACTTATGCAAAATAACACATATATCAGTTAATTATTGCAGCATTACTTTTCTGAGCAGGTTCAAAATACATAAGAATATGACTCATCCATAGTTGGAGTACTATTCAAACTACTAAAAACAATGAGGCTGACATACATACACATGTGCAAGTATATAAATATTACAACGAAACCCCTTTGTGCAATTAATTTATACTAATTTTTAAAAAGACACAAAACATGGTTGGGAAAGTGGCTTAGTAGTAGAGCGCTTGCCTTGCATGCCTGAGGCCCTGGGTTCGATTCCCCAACACCACATAAGAAAAAAGCCGGAGCCGGGCGCCGGTGGCTCACGCCTGTAATCCTAGCTACTCAGGAGGCTGAGATTTTTTTTCTTGGTCATGGGGCTTGAACTCTGGGCCTGGACGCTGTCTTTGAGCTCTTTAGCTTACGGCAAGCGCTCTACCACTTGAGCCACAGCGCCACTTCTGATTTTTTGGTGGTTAGTTGAAGATAAGAGTCTCTGGGCTAGTTTTGAACTATGATCCTCAGATCTCAGCCTCCTGATTAGCTAGGATTACAGGTGTGAGTCATTGGTATCTAGCCTGAAGGCTGAGATTTAAGGATCACAATTTGAAGCCAGTAAAATCCACAAGACTCTTATCTCTAATTAACCACCGAAAAGGACTAGTGGAACCATGGCTCTAGTGGTAGAGTCCTAGCCTTGAGCATAAAAAGCTCAGGGACAGTGCTCAGGCCTTGAGTTCGAAGCTCCAGAACTGGCAGAAGCCACATGTGCATGTGCACACACACACACAGTAAATAATTTTTTTCACTTTGTCTACTTCAGTCTATAAATAGTATGTCCGGAGCCAAAATATGTCATCTTTGGCAGGCTGTTTTAAGTTAAGAGATTTGGGGGAATGTAAAATATCTAATCAGATATAACATTTCAAGGATAAAGGGTAGTTGTAAACTTATTTTGAGTTTGTTTTCTTTCTTTTTAATGTTTTTTTTAAACAAACAAAAAATGTTGCCCAGGCTGGTGTAAAACTCGTAATTCTCTTGCCTTAGCTTGCCAAGTGCTAGGACTACAGGTGGGTGCCACAACATCCAGCTGATTTATTGACATTTCCTACCCTGGTTAATTTCTTATTCATATGGCACTGGATTAAACATACCTTCAAAGCCTTTATGGTACTTTATTCTATGGACAAAATCCAAC